GGTCCCAATCAGCTCCCCAGCTCTCCCCGCAGATGCGTGCAGACTAGACCCTGTCTCGGCCCCGCCGCGTCCGGCTGGCGGAGACCGGCTCCGGGCTGGTCGAGATGCCTCCGTCCGCCTCTTCCCGGCCCCCGCGGGAGGCGCGCGGCCAGCGGTCCCGGGGCGCCGACCACCCACCCCCCGCCCCATTCCCAGCCAGGCCGCCCGCCAGCAGGCCTTTTGGACTGACCACCACCGAGGCGAAAAACCCAAACTCTCGTTTTTTTACCCGGACCAAATACAGAGGAGGAGGAAGCAACCTTCATTCCGTTGGAAAACCCAGCTTCTTTCTTTTAGGTTTTCCGGTTAATGTTTTAAACCAAAGCTCAGGAGAACCATCTTGTCACGCTGGCGGGGATGCTTAAGGAACAGAGTCTGGGGGAAGAGACCCGACCGGCTACCCTCCTAAATGCCAACTGTTGACGCACTCTCCCTAAAATTAAAGGGGAAGAGCCAGGCATGGGGGACCCCCTGCCCAAGGTCAGGTGGCATCAGTCACCGTAAGACAAGGGCACGCTGAATTATTTCATGGAGCCTGTTGACACCGGAGCAACTCAGAAGAACAGCACATTTCAAAAATCGAAGCAGACTGTACCCATTGAAAACCACACGGATTTAGACATTCATTTCATCACTATCAGAGGACAAGGCGGTCATCTCCTACAGTGACCTCAGGCTCTTTTCCCAATCGGAAAAAGGGCTTTCTAAAGGCACATCATTCCTAAACTATTAAGGACCACTCCCTTGGAAGGAGAGAAAGAATTTAGGCCCGGGCTGGGACCCCCTGGGTGAACCAGGTGCTTTTCCTCCGAACATCTGACTTTCTCATTCACAGCCCTGGGCTGTCCCTTTAAACTGAAATTCGGTAACATTCCAAACCCAGAAAGGATTAAAAAGCTCTAAAAATTAATTTCCAAGTTTTCTTCTTTAAATTAAAACCAACAGGGGGCAGGGGGAGTAGAGTTTTGCTCAAAACTGAGAAAATTTCGTGTTTTTAAAGGATAGTTGGTTTAACAGGGTAGTATCTTAATGCCTCTGCCAAACAACTTCACCAGAACTGCACACATTAAAAAATCGAAATGTTAAAAAAAAAAAATCGAAATGTTCAGGGCATCCAGGTACCTCCCAGGGTGAGGGGAACACCGCTCACTTCACACACTCCCATACCATTTGAATGGTTTTATAATTTGAAAAGTATATAAACCTTTTACAAGTCTGGCAACACTGAGCATGTACTGTTTTAACCCAAATAAAACGTATAAGGATCTTTAACTGGAATATAAATAAAACCTGACATTTAAACTCAACTGCTGCGAGGGAGGGTTCCATCTACGCCCCTGCCAGGAGGGCGGATTCGAGGTGCCCTCTCCCCCTTCCTCCCCCCTTGACACTAAACTTCCCAGTGAATTGATTCCCTCTTCCCATTCCCGGGATTGGGATTCAGATCTCTTTTACCTCAATCCATTTTTTGAAAGAATCTGCTAGAAACATTCAGCCCTGAATGTGGGAAAACTTTCAGAAGAGTCCATTCAAAGCTTTAAAAAAAGGAAGGCAAAGAATAACGGCCCGCCTAGGCTTCTTACCTAGAAAGAAACTTTGAAAATGAGGCGTCCACAACAAGTAGATTAGAATTTCAACTTTTTTCCAATAGGAGAAGCCGGCTTAAGGCCAGCAGGCAATAGCTCCGCCCTCCTCCCCAAATAACAGGTTAGAAGTGGAAAAGGCTGCGCGGGGCAAGCCGCAGCCGCGCTCGCAGCCAGCACGCCCACCCCACCTCGCAGGCGGCAACTCCCACGAGGACTTCTGTTCCCCTGCAAGGCGAGGCTCTAGCATCACCTCTCCCCGAGGACTACAAGTAGATCGCATCAAGGCACCGACCCTCTCAGGAGAGGCTGAGCCTTAAAACTTTCGGCCCCTTCCACTCAGGGGCTCGAATAGGCTTAAGGTAGCACACGATGTGAAAAATAAGCAAGAAAGGTCTATTCAACAAACAGCCAAGAGCCAAGTGAACCCAAAGGCTGCCCTTCAGTCCTCGGGCTCTGCGTGCCCGGTTCGAGCCGCGTGCAGCCGGGGCCGGCTTGTTCCCCAGGGGCAGTCGAGCCTCAGGTTGAACGGGGTGGGGACACCTCCCAACCTGGGAAACCGGTTCCCGGAGAGACCAAGGCCGGGGCAGGCGGGGGAGGCCCGAGGACTTCCAGCTGGGTGAGGGCAACAGGCAAGGTCCCCCCCGCCGCCCGCAACCCGCAGCCCCGGGCGCAGGGGTGGGCCCACGAGACTCAAGTCCACACAAGGGAGGTTCAGGGGCCAGAACGCGCTTTTTCTCCACGTTGCGGAAACGGAACCTCGGGAGCTGGAGGCTAAAGACCCGAGGCCCTAACAGATTCGCAGCTGCCAACTTATCCCACACAATCCCAACTACAAGTTTAGCCCGCCCTCAAGATCGCGCACGTGAAAAATCAGGGCATTCCGGGCACGTGTACCCCACTCTCACCCACTCGATCCCCTAACTCCTGGCCAACGCCTTACTTAAAAGCAACCATCGATGAACTTCAAACCAACAAAACTAAAGTGGGGGAAAAACCTAAACGGGAGCCCTCAGTATGCTGGGAAGACCCTGGTGTACCCCCACAAGACCACATCTACGCACAGACACTCACTCACAGACTCACACACGCCTGCATCCCGTGTCTTACTTAAAACAATAGCGTGACCGTTTTGTCAAACAGAAACGAGGAAACCAAAGTCTCTCCAGAGGGGGGTATCTCCAACCTCGGAAGCTGTCTGGGGGAGCAGAGTAGGCACCTTCGCCCACGGAGGCCAGGTCTACACAGGCATACACATCTGTGTTACCCCAGCTCCTGCCTATAACTGGAGACAGCGGTTACCACGTTCGGCCAGCCAGAAAATTAGATATGGAAGGGGGGGAGGAGGCGTTCGCGTTCTGGGACCCTCGGCGGCCCGCACACAGAAGCCAGCTCTTCTCCGCACACACACAGGGTCGTCGGCTCAAAGGCAGTGACTGCCACGTAGTCAAAAAGAAAACCGGAGAAATCCGGAAGGGGGAGAGGACTCCCTCCCTCCGTCGGGGACCTGCCCGGAGACCCCTGCGAGTACCCGCGCAGCGCCCCTGGGGCCCAGACCCGCTGCCCACGCCGCCGGGCCACAGTCCCCCCACGGGTGCGGTCCCCGCACTCACCTCGTCGTCGTGGTGCTGGCAGAAGCCGAGGCGCTCGGGGAAGACGGAGAGGAGGGAGAAGGGAGCGCCTGGGAAGGGCGGCCCGAGCCCGAGCTGTTGCGCCGCCGCAGCGGCGGCGGCGGCGGCGGCGGGGCCGGGCGGGCCGCGCTCAATGTAGTGGTCCTTGGTGAGGCGCACGCGCTGGTGCGCGCGGACGCAGTTGTCGCACAGGTGCTCCTGGCAGTCGAGGCAACGCGACGAGGCCGCGTTGCCCTCGTCGCAGGAGCTGCAGCCATGGGGCCGGCGCAGCAGCAGCGCCGACGGGGAGCCTGCGGGGCCGCCAGGCGCCGAGCGGGGCGGCGCGGGCGGCGGCGGCGCGGGCGGGAGCGGCGGCGGCGGCGCCGAGGCGGCCGCGTGCGGGTGCGCGTGATGCCGGTGGTTGCTGCCGTGGCCGCCCGCGCCCGCCGCGGCGCCGGCCCGCCCGTTCTTCGGCGGCGGCTCGTCGGCCGTGGCCACCACGGCGTCGAGCAGGTTGCTGAGCAGGAAGGCGGACGAGGGCAGCGCGTCCATGCCCGCCGCCTCGGCCAGAACGACCTTCTGGTCGCACACGGGGCAGCGCAGCTTGAGCGGCTCTCCCGGCGCGCCGCCGCCGCCGCCCGCCGCCGGCAGCCGGTGCGCCTCGAGGCACGGGCGGCAGAAGGCGTGCAGGCAGGGCAGGACGTGCAGGCGGCGCGCCGCGGCCCCGGGGCCCCCGCCGCCGCCCCCCGACGACGTGGACGTCTGCGAGGATGACGACGATGCCGACGAGCTGGAGGAGAGCGGCGCCGGCGAGCCGCACATCTCCTTGCAGAGCAGGCAGATCTGGAAGTCGGTCTCGGGGAACGAAGCCATTTGCAACCAGGCCCGGAGGAGGGAGGAGACCAGAGAGGAAGAGGAGGAGGAGAGCGCGGACGAGGTGGGTGGGGGAGCCGCCGACTCACTCAGAAAAAAGGCATCGATTAGGCCTACGCACGGGAGCCGGCACCAGAACGGCGCGGCCGCCTCGGCCTCGCCGCGCCCGGCCCGCGCGCTGCCACCCGCGAGGCAGCGGGCATTAAATGCCACTTTCCAGAGGCGACAAGGATTCCTCCCGGAGGAGGACGCGGGAGCCGCGCGCCTCCCGAGGCGGGAGCGCCGGAACAAGTCCTGACACGCGAGGGGCGAGCGGGGGCAGGGAGGTCAGAGGACTCCTGGAGCAGCTGCAGCTTAGCTTCTCGCCAGCCGAGGGGAATTGTCCCCCACCCCCAAGTCAAGTCCGCTGTGCAATCCCAGTCCCGGCAGGAGAGGCAGAATTTGGTTCGACGAGTATTTGGTGCGTGGGCTTTTCTTTAAATGGATTTAGTCTCTTCTTGGGACAGGAAGGCTCCCCAAACTAGTAAAGGCGGGAGCGGCGCGACGCCGAGCCCGTGTCCCCCCGCGCGACGCCAGCCGCCCCACCGCATGACGCGGCGGCCAGGGGCTCCTGGGTGGCCCGGCGTGCGGCGCTCCGGGCTTGCGCACGGCCGGGCGCGGCCTCTCTGCAAGGGCGGCGAGCCCCGCCGCAGCTGCAGCTAGTGGGGCCCGCCGCGGCCACACGCGGGTAGTACGCACGCGCGCCCCACGCGCCTCGAGTCTCCCGCGCGCCCGCCGAGCCCCGCCGAGCTGCCGGCGCTTAACACGCACGCGCGCCCCACGCGGCCCGGGGCCCTCTTGCCCCGGCCTTGCAGGGCCTGGGCGCCTCCCACGCGCTCCTTCTCCTCCGGTTTAGCCGCGCCGCTGCGCGGGGCCGCAGGTCCCCGCGGGCCGTCGTGAATTATTCATCGGCAGGAAGATATTAGATGTACCCGCTGCCCGCTCCGCGCGAGCCGTCGTGCAATGCTATCCGAGCTCTGCGCGCGCCCCGCGCCCCTCCTCCTCCTCCTCGCGTCCGTCCTCTCTGAAACCTTGGCAGCGAAGGGGGATCACATTTCCTTTGTCATCGGGCCATTTCGCCCTCGCCTTGGTCCCCCCCTCCGATCTCGAGCCGCGGGGACGGAACCTCCACCGAGGCGCGCCGGAATCAGTGGAACCGGCAACGGCCCAGCGCGGTGAGATCAGGAGCCGCGTGGTCAACGCCGCCGGCCCGCGCCCGCGTCATCTTCTTTCTGAAACCAGTCGCCGAGAGAGACTCGGGTGGCCCCGGCAGCGTTGCGCCTACCGGGCTTGGCCCGCGCTGTGCGCCCTGGCCGCCCGGGGCTTTGAACAACTCCGCGATTCGGGCTGCGTGCGTGCACGCGCGCGCGCCCCCCCTTTCTCAGCTTTGCCGCCTCTTCCTCCTCCTCCTCTCAGTACGTTGGTTATTGGGACTGATCGGAATTCGGAATCCTTTTAATCTCCAAAGGAGCAAACTCACTTCCGCCCGAGTGCTGGGAGGGGGCTGGGGGAGGGGACACAGAGGAGGGGGTTCCAGGCAAACAGGAAACATTAGCCCTCCGCACGGCTCGCTTTTGTGTGCTCCCTCCCTCCTCCTTCCAACCTCCTCCCTTCTCGCGGCCGCGGGGGAGATGAACGCCCCCGGCTTCAGTGTGACGACCTTTGAAACCCTCTGAGCGCGGAGTGGAGAGCGACTCTTCCGTTTATTTAAAAAAGAAAAGAAAAGATTTCATTCTGAATCCCGGTTCTGCAGAGGCTGATATCCACTGCCCCTGAGATCTCACCCCCACCCCCGCTCCAGCCACCGGTTTCTTTCTTTCTTTCTTTCTTTTTTTAACATTTTCTTAAGGACTCTGTATATCTGATCAACACCAAAACATCACGCAGTTTGGAATTAAACGAGTCTGAATTTTGACCTGCAGGAGGGCCCGTTTCTTTCGGCGTTTTATTGGGGGGGGGGGGGCGGGGGGAGATAGGGGGCAGAGGGCAGCTGTTCGGGGGAGGTTCCCGGTGATGGCCCCGCGGCCATCTGGGTGCTGCCCGAGGCTGCCTGGGCGGTTCTGGGAGAGGAACTCGCTGGGCCCTGGAGAGAGACTGACTTGGCGGAGTGGAGAGGGCCAAATAGTACCATTTAGAGGGTATATGGTGTGGAGGCCATCGGGTGGACCGATTGTCCCAGTTTTAACAGCATCAAGCTGTGAGTGACAGCTTGGGTCCCACTTCTACAAACAACCTGGATGAATCTCAAAAAAACATCATGTTAGAAAAAAGGAACCAAACACAAAGTTCATACTGTGTGATTCCATATATGGAAAATTCTAGAAGGGGCATAACTAAGCTTTGAGGATAGGAAAAGAACCCTCGAGGGTGAGGGAGTAGTGACTGGGGAAGGGGATAGGAGAGAACCTTCTGGGGAAATGAAGCCGAAGGGGCATTTGTGTGTACATTTGTCAAAACTTCTGGATCTGCCATTTAAGATCTGTGCAGAATTACACTGGCTATAAACTAAGTTCAAAAAATAATAATAACTTGGTGCCCAAGCTAAACAACCAATGCTTGTATCATAAATGTGAAATATAAAAGAAAAAGCACTACATACACATTTGCAGCTCACCAGATTTCACAGAGATTTGCAGGGAAAGACCAACCTGGAAGGAACTCTTAACATGCTGAAGGCCCCATGCTGCAGAAACACCACCCTCATGGGACAAAGCCATTGTGGGGCCTGGTGCTGCTCTGAGATGGGAAGAATTCTAGGACAAGCCAGCAGACCTAGTCTTCAGCCGCTGTCTCCTTGGCACCTGGAGCAAATCTGAGCTGAGTGAACATTCACCCAAATGTGGGAGGAGTGCAAAAATTAATATCAAATAAACCCAGAACACATCAGTTATATCTCAATAAAACAGAGGAGGGGGGACAGCTTTCCTTCTTTGACCAATGAAAGAGAAGTAAACATTTTATGCTTTGAATATTAGAAATAACATTGTGCATCAGCTACACTCCAGTATAAAAATGTAATAAATATTAGGGGTTTTTCATGCCAACACAAGTTTCTTCCAGTTTGAGACCTGAGAATAAACACGTACATGCTGGCACATGAATTTTATACCACACTGGCCTTGCTTCAACAGAGGTATGGATGTATTCCGTGGTTTTTGTTTCTTTTCCTTTCTTTGATTGTCTTTAATTTCTTTTTTTTTAAAACAAAAACAAGAGGAAAACAGATGGGGGAAGAGAATTGCCAGAAGGAAGATGGCCCCAGAGGGTCAAAAAAGGGATGGGCCAGACCTGCTGTCTCCCTCTTGATTGGCCCCACCCACCAGCATCTAAAAAGGTTTAAAAAAAAAAAAGATGACCAGAGAGGGGGAGGGGAGAATTAGCAGCTCTTCTGGTCCTATGACTCTAAATATCTTGCAAGTGGATGGCAGAGATGGAAAGTCAGCTGAGACATCTATCTCCAAGGAGCAGGAAGACTGTAACTCCAGAAAGAGGAATCAAACTCCACAGCAGGGGGTGGGTTAGTTTCCTGGGGACAATTGCTCAGAATAAGGCAAAAAGAAAGAGAAGGAGGAAAAAGATGTTGATTTCTCCTCTGGAAGTAGCTTCCCTTTCTTTCCTTTGGTGAATTGACAGGACATTGCCAGGAAGCAGGGCTGCAGTGTAAATTGTTAAATTAGCACTTTTCTAATTTCCATTAAGACTTAATTCACCATACCTTGGGAAGAGGGAAATTTTTAAAGCAACTGATTCAATCCCAATTGTAGAGAAATACAGTTATGATTTTTTTTCAATATGATGTAGTGATGAAGACCAAATTAGGAAGAGATTTTAATAAGGCTGTAGCTTATCCATGAGAGGAACGGGAGCTGTATATCCAGATGAAAGGTCAAAGACAGTCCCCTGCTATAAACTAGTATTAAATTTTTCATTGCCATCCTAGCTAATAAACACCCTTTCTTAGCAAGAGAGGAACAAGCAGTCGTCCAGTTTTGCCTAAATTAGAAAGGGAATATGTAAACATCTTTCTGAAACCTGAAAATATTTGTATTTTAATAAGGAACTACTTCTTAAAAAAAAAAAAAGCCCTAAAATTATGTAAGCAGTAAATTTGCATTCTTTCTTGAATTCATCTGTAACCATATTTTCTTTTCAAAGAGGACAGTGGCCCCTGCTGCTCTCTCAGGCCTGGGGTTGGGGTTCCACCACATTTCCCTCCATCAGAGCGACTACATCTGTTTTTTGCATCTGATCCTTTCATTAAATATTTGATGTACCAGCTTGTTTTGATGTAAAATTGCATCTTTCACCATCATTCTCAGGGTACATTCACATAATTTTAAAATACATGAATCACTAGAATATTCTTTTTGAATATTAAAAAAAAAAACCTTTATATCATAATAACTCTTTTAAACCCCTGGGGGGGTGGTGGGAGGGAACGACTGGGGGCAAGGGGAAGTGTTACCAGCCAAAGAGACTACCCTTGAATCTTTGTCTGCATCCTGCCAGTTGAAGGGGAATGGAGTTCAGCACACCTGGCCAACTCTTAACTCTTCCCTGACTCTGGCCTTGGAGTCATTATAATGAGGAGGGCATGGCAACCCACTCCAGTATTTTTACCTGGAGAATCCCCACGGACTGAGGAGCCTGGTGGGCTATGAGTCCATAGGGTCGCAAAGAGTCGGACACGACTGAAGTGACTTAGCATGCATTGGCTGCTTTTTTTTTTTTTTGCATCAGCTGCTTTTAACAGCCCAGAGTCCAGAATAGCAACAAGTCAGAGAATATATAAGCTCTAGTCACCTAGACCTTTATAGACTACAGTAAAGAAGCTTGAAGAGTCAGTATCCAGCTTGGATGGTTAAAGGTACTCCAGAGCCCAATCAGGCTTATCTCCCAGCTCAACACTCTGTGTGATCTTGGGCAAGTTACTTAACCTCTCTGTGCCTCTGATTACTCATGCTTATAGCAGGACTGGGCCAAGGACTTAGCCCATCAGGGTTAAATGAGCTGCTGAATATACAGTGCTTAGTATAATACGAAATACATGTAAGTGCTCAAGCACACAGTTAAATATTACCTTTTTGTTTTCATTATGTTTATTCAGTAGAGGGGTTTACAAACTGCCTGCCTACCCCTTAAATTTGTCTTTGCCTAATCACTACCCTCCCCTGGATCTCAGCATTTCAGATCACGAATCGTGTCCTTCTTCCCCTCCATAATAGAGAGATGTGGTCTTGCCTCCTGTCACTCACAGCTCAAGACCCCGCAGTGGCTGCATGTGGCCCACCAGGTTTAAGCTAAGCTCTCATCCTATGTTTAATGAAATGAAATGTGTGTCTTTCATAGTGGGGGGGGCAAAAACTATAAAAGTTGTTTTTTAAATAAATATAGCAGAAAATCAAAAGATACATAAATCAATACACAGTTAAGCCTGACCAGCCTCTTATTCCAGAGTCTCAAATTTTGTAGCTGAAAGGGCTCCCTTTTACCTAAAGAAGTCAGACTGCTCAACCTGATGGCCAAGGACCTCTCTGTCACATCCCACTCTTTTACAACCCCATGGACTGCAGCCCGCCAGGCTGCTCTGTCCATGGGATTTCCCAGGCAAGGATACTGGAGTGGGTTGCCATTTCCTTCTCGAGGGGATCTTCCCGACCCAGGAATCCAATCCGAGTCTCCTGTGTTGGCAGGCACCTTCTTTACCACTGAGCCACCAGGAAGCCTAAGGACCTCTCTGCCCTGTCTCAAATCTCCCTTTCTGTAAGTCTTCCACACAAGGGCCTCCCACCACCCATAGATACCCGACTCAACTGCTTAGGACCCAGTAAGTCTTCGGCCTGACCTGACTGTTCCCACTCATGGCTTTCCCTGAGAGGTGGGGTCTGTTGCCCCTCCCCTAGAGTCTGGGCTGGCACCTGGCTATTTCAGCCAATCCAGAGTATGGCAGAGGGATGTTATGCCTGTTCCTGGCCCCGTCTCCAGAAGAACTGACTGCTTCCACCTTGGTCTCCATAGTGGCTCAGGGAACAGGAAGCCAAGGGGGAAGAGACCACACGGAGGGTCCCTGAATCACCGTGGACAGAGAGGGGGGCCGCCGGAGCACAGCCTCCCTGCCGCCCGCCCCCCCCCCAGGTGCCAGGCATGTGGCGGAAGCCACCCTGGATCGCCTAGACCATCCCAGTCTGAATACCACCCAGTTGGTGCCACTGGGCTTCACCCCACTGAGCCAATCTGAATTCCAGATTCACAAAATTGTGAAAGATAATAACACGGTGGTTGTTGTAAGCCACTAAATTTGGGGGTCATTTGTTACAAAGGAGGAGATAAACGGACACTGCCATACCCTCCTGCCCCACATTTTCTGACAGATTAACATCCCTAAATTTCTTCTTCCTTCCTTCCTCTCGCCCTC